CACTCTTTGCTATATTGCATTCACTATCTACAGTGTGTTATCATATGATCAGCTACAGTCTTATCACTTATTAAAGTGTGATATTTGCCTGATTTCTTCATTACTTCTCATTCTTTTCTTATTATTATGAAAAGATTGAAATAAGTGAGATCATCTGATTTGTAAGTGTCTATGATTTCTCTTACTTCTTGAGACTTTTTAATTGTAAGCTTCTTCTTTTTCAATACTGATAATAGTGCTGTGAATAATTATAATCTGCTTGAGTCTTGCATCTTTGCTTTCACAAGTCATGAATCATTGATTAAGTTGTGTAAGATTCATTTCTCTGATTCTTTCAATGTGTATGTTCTCAGAGAATGTGATTTAAGTATCTTATATAACTCAAATCATCTAGATTGAAACTTCTCAGAACTCTTATTACATATGAGAACTTACATTCTTATCTTGAGACTTGATTTCTTAACAAGTGAGTCTTGTATTCTTTTCAATTGAATTGCTTGATTCAGAAGTAACTTATTAGCTTTTGCACATACATGGCTGATCTCTTTCAATCTTGGTTTCATATTCACAACTGTTGCATTCACAACTGCTACTGTTGCATTCATAACTACTCTCTTCCCCATCTTTTTCAAAGCATTCTCCAGGATGCGCGGGTGCAATTCATACAACAGATAGAATGATGAACACTTGAAGACTGCATGCTGTTGAATTCACATGATCAATAGCGCCTGCCTGAGATATTCATCTCATAGTCTCATAGACTTACTCACTAGATATTTTGTCAGCATGTTGCTCAAGATTTCATTCAAGTGTTTCATCTTTCTATTTATCTGCAGATGATATGATGTTGTTCTACAATGTCTTGTCTGTAACTGGCTCATGAAATGCCTCATCACTTCTTCTATGAGATTTGCACTGTTATCAGTTAGGATCTCATGCGGCATTCCATAGTTGACATAGATCTCATCATGTAGGAACTTCATCATCACTCCCTCTGTCACCTCTGGAACTGCTTTCGCGACTGGCCAGCCAGTAGTGTAATCAATAGCAGTGATTATTCATTGATTTCCATTTGATATTTGCGGCAATATGTCTATGAGGTTCATCTCTCATTATTCAAACAGTTATATTGTACACTTTATCTGATGTTGTACTTCTTCACATTCTAACCCTTTCTTAGATTCTTTCATGACCTGGCAATTCAGGCACTCATGAGTGTACGCCTGGATGTTCTCAGCCATGCTTGGCCAGTATGCTCTTGATTTGAGTATATTCATGAGTTCAGAGCTTTCTAAGTGACTGAATTCTTTGTGCATGTGAGTCATCAAGTCATGTCAAAATGAAGGTTCTAGATAGAGAGCTTCTGTGTATCCTAGATTGCAGTAAAGCACAATGTTGTTTTTCAATTTTCTCAGCTTGAAGTTCAGAAGCATCTCTTCTACTACTTTTGTGAGACACTTGTTATCTGACACCTTGTCATTCTTCAAGTAAGAGATCATAGTGTTCACTCATTCTGATTCCTTGCATCCTCTCAGTGTGTTTAACACAAACATTTCTTGTGCCTGGTTTGCAGAACCCTCACCCATGAAATCAGGTCTGCAACTGATTGCATTTAGTACCACTATATTCAATTCTTTTCAGTATTTGATATGAAGATTGTATGCTTGAAACTCTGAGATTCAATGTACTAAGTGTTTAAAAGATTTTGTTGTTAATTATAGATAGATAAGACTTTCATAATCTGTGATCACTGTTGTTGTATGCTCATTATTGATATATCTATCTCATAATGTCAGCATGTGCTTGATCACTAGCAATTTCTTTTCATGCACTGAGTAATTAAGCTCAGCATCTGATAGTTTTCTATCATTGTACATCACCAGGTGCAGCTTGCCATTCTTACTCATCTGTAGAAGAGCGCCTCTGATAGCTCATTCAGATGTGTCTGTCTTGATATAGAAAGGTTTATCACAATCTGATTGAATAAGCACTGAGGATGTTGTTATGTATTCTCTCAGTGTGAGAAAAGCCTCTTCACACGCGGCATTTCAGATGATTGAATGAAACTTCTTCTTTCACAGATTTGCATTCATTTCTCTTAAGAGATCTGAGAGTGGTGCAGATATTTGTGTGAAATCCTTGATGAATCTGCAGTAGTATGAGATCAACTCAAGAAACTGTCATACATAGTGTACATTCCTCAGCCACGGCCAATTCACTATGACATTCAATTTCTCTGAGATGAGGTATATACAGTCATCACTCACTACATGTTCTACAAACTTCAACTCTTCCATTTCAAACACACACTTGGTTGATTTGATATAGAGCTTATACTCTGTCAGAGTTGTAAGCACTTCATCAAGATACTTCAGATGTTTATTATATGAGTTTGAAAAGACTAGAATGTTATCAAGATATATGAGGCATGAGGTTTCATTCTGTTTATAAAGAATTGTATTCATCATTGTTTGAAAGATGACAGATGCATTTGTCAGACTGAATGACATTATCAGGAATTCAAACTTTCTTCATTGTATATTAAATGCAGTTCACAGGACTGACAGTTCATCTATACAGATCTGCCAGTATTCTGAGAGAAGATTAATCTTTGATAGATATCAGGTGTTTCTGACTGTATTCAACTGTTATTGAATCTGTGACAGTGAATATTCATTCTTGATTGTAAGCTTGTTGAGTGCTTGATAATCAATACACATCTGTCACTTCTCATCTGCCTTTTTCATGAATAGAACTGGAAAGCCTCATGCACTTGATGAGAATTGTATGAGACCATGTTCTAGAAGATCTGTGATCTGATGCTTCTGTTCTTTGAGGTGTGTTTGTGACAGGGGGTACACATTCTGGTTGACTGGTTTTGTGTCCCTCATGTCAATCTCATGTATGAATTCTTGTTTCAGTGGCAATTCCAGTGAAAGATCTGTTTGAAAGATCTTTTCATACTTCTTCAGAAGCTTCTTCATACACTTGTCCTTCTGCATATTCTTTATCTTAGTTTTCTCTGCTTTCAGGTCCTGTATGATATACAGGATGCTTTCAGATGAGATCTTGTGAATTGTTCTCTTTGCTTATTGATGTGTAAGCAGATTTAACCCTTCTATATCAGAGATGTGAAATATCCTTCTCATATCAGTTAATAGAATTGTATGAACCATTTTCTTTCTATCAGTCAACTGCATATGACATGTATGTTATTGAATCTGCAGATTGAATCTTTGAAATCAATTAAGTTTGAGAATAAGGTCATATTTCATGTTCTGCAGCTCTCACACTCAAATATAGCAAGATCATTCTCTGAAGTGCAAGGGAACTCTTACTTTTGCAGGTGATATCAGATATCAGTTATCAGATAATTGTATGCATTAAGAATTCTTCACTTAGTGAACTTCTTTCAATCTTCAGATCATATGATCATCAATATATTATGTAGAAGCTTCTATGTCTGCTAACACTTTTGCAGCCATCTCTTGATTCTTACTCAAGTGCCTTCTATACATTAACATTTCAGGTCTCAAGGCATTGAGATGAGTGTTCACTTCATCATTCTCATCTGTACCTCATTTGAGAGCCTGCTTCTTCTTTGCATTTACAGGATTCAGAGAATCATCTAACACGGGCATCTCTTTCACTTTGAAGACTTTTCATAGAATATCAGCAAGTGTCTCTGAGCTTACTGATCCTGCTAGTTTTTTGACTCTCTTGCTTCTCTTGACTGTGCACACTGAATGCAATCTTTTGCATCATGATTTTGGCATTCGCAGTTGAAGCAAGCTCAATACTTGTGACATCAAGGTTTTCACTCAGAGGATCTCTTTTTCAGGGGATTCAGTGCTTTAGTGATGGCATTCAGATCTAGATTCATTGTGTCTGAGTGTGTGACTTGTGTTATAGAAGTCTGATTACTCATTCTTCACTGAGACATACTCAATTGCAGTATTTTCTGTTACAATTGACTTGCTTGTTTCTGTACAATGAGGATGTTGTATGCTTTCTTCACTGTGTCTGGCTGTGAGGTTAAGCATTTTCATTCCACTCTCAACTCAGACATAAAACCATGAATGAAGATCTGTAAACAGAAAGATGTTGAAAGCTCTTCATTTAACACAAGATAGTGTAAGCTGAAGTGTGTGAAGTACAATGTAAGATTACTTACTTGTCTACACTCAGTGAAGTGTTCATAACACTTATCTCACACATTCACTTTCTCAAAGTTGTGCAAGATTCACTTGAAAAACTCATTTCATATTCATGAGAATGAATATCACTTCAGATCTGTAAGATTCATCTTTTCATCAGTCATTTATAATGACTTTGCTTTTTCATGTAGAAATGTGACAGATCTTAAGACTTGTTGAAATTCTGTTAACTGCCTGTCTGTGAGTTCATGTTCAATCTGATAATATGATTGCATCTGACTTAGCCAGCTAATTGCAGCATTATTTTTTCAGTCACTATTAAAACTTGATGACTTCAGCAGATCTTCTGACTTGATATATTTCATGCTCAGATTCTCATTCTGTGCAGTGATCTCTGATAATGTGTACACTTCTGAAGAGATTATAAATGATTGTGATGAGATCTTCAGGTTCAGTGTAGTCACCTGTCTGTGTAAACATTTGATCTCCTGCTGCAGACCTAAGATCTGGTTTTCTCTATTCTTATTGATGATGGTGATTGTGTCAGTGAAGCTCTTCATAGTGAATGCTTGATCTGCAGTAAATGTCAATTGTTGTTTAATCTCTGTCTCAGCCTGTCACTGTGTATGCAAGGCCTTGATCTCATTTAGAATTCTTGTACACATACAGAGCTTCAATTCTGGTTTGACAGTCTCAGCTGCTTTTCTTACTGCTTTGAGTAAACCCTCTGAGAGGTTCTGCATATCTTTCAGTTCAGATAGCAGAGAAGAGTGTTATTTGTATCAGCTAGAAGAGGTATTCATTTTAATAGTTTCTTGTTGATTGTATGATATCTATTGTTATTGCTGTATTATTATATCACTATATCATTATATTGCTATATCACTCTGTTATCATTGTACAACTTCAGTGATGACCACCCCTCTCTTTTATCTCTTTGAATAGAGAGTGATCTTCTTTGAATCTGGTTCACTGCTCTCATTTCTTTTCTCACATCTCATCTGTTCACATATGTGATATTCACCTGAGTATGAAGTTTTCCCTTAACAAGCAAAGCAGTATCAATCAGATGCTCTTTCACTCATCACTCTTCATACACTATCTTTTGAGGTGTTCTAGAACCACACTGGCATGATAACTATGAATTGCTTTGTAGATGGAATTATCATGCCCTGAAGAAGCCTGTGCTTCTCACTGGTTTTTAGACATGCTATCAGATGTGATTCAAAGGTTGCTTAAGCTAGTGTATGATTACAGGCGTACGCCGGCTTCTTATATTATAATCTCGTATGCTAAATTAATTAGCATACACTATGGCCCCTTTACACTTGTACGCGTACGCTAGTAGTTCGGAAGCGGCCGCGGTATTATCCGACAGTCGTACGTTCTTCCGAACCACAGAGAGAACAGTGTCAATTGCAGAACACTGTTTTCTATCTCTTATTTATTCACTGAATAAAAGAGAATCATCTATAGAGCTTATAAAAGATAGTTAAGTAGCTATTATCTTTTCTAAAACCTTTCCTAGACAGTTCAATAGAGATATTACTCTATATGACTTAGAAATTAAAGTTTTTCTATTAGGTTTTGCAAGAATCACTTCAGTGACTTCTCTCCAGCATTCAGAATGATATTCATTTTTCAAGAGATTGAAAAAGAGCTCAAAATATTCATTCTTTAAGTAGGAATATGTATTTTGAATAATCAAGTGATTAATTGAATCAAGACCTGCAGCAGTTTTAACAGAACTTGAGAAGATAGCTGACTCTAATTCATCTTATGTAAGATCAGGTCATTTCCAGTTATTTTCATCAATGTAGTTGAGAAGTAATATATTCTCTTTCTCTTTCTCTGAATCTGAATCTGATGAGTTCTGAAAGAGAATTCTCATGAAAGCTTGACATTTTTTCTCAAAAGAGTTTGCTGTATATAATTCATTCTGAAACTCATATTCTAGAGCTGGAAGTTTTGCTACACTTCTTGTTTTAGTATAGTTAAAAGCTTTAAAAACTTCCTTTTCTTGTGCTTCTTTAAGAAATTTATTTCAGCAGTCTGTTTTAGCTCTTTTAATATCTGAAAAATATTCATTTCTGACAGCTTTGAACTCTTCATCAGATATTACATCATTCTTTCAATCTCTTCTAGCAGTAGCTAATTCTTTCCTTTTAGATGAGATATTCTTATTTCATCAAGGTTTTGAATACTCAGAAGATTTTCTTTTTGAAATATTATCTCTAACACTTGTTAGAATAATAGATGTAATAAGCTTCACTCTATTCTCAAGCATTTCATTTGAGATATCTTGATCAGAATTTCAATATAGCTCATTCTGTCTTTCAGATTTTAACAGTTTTATACTCTCTTCAACTACTTTTCAATCAGCTTTTTCAAAGTTATACTGATTAGAGAGAAGAGGATTTTCACTCATTTATTTTTCACTCAGTTCAATATTAAATTGAATAATCTCATGACCTGATTCTGATGTCTCATTTGAATTAATAAATCAGTTTACAAGTCTTCTTTTCATTAGATTTTATGACATGAATGTTAGATCTATAATAGACTTCTGTTTCATGTCTTTTCTAAAGAATGTTTGTTAATCAGACTTATTAATCAAATCTATTGAATGCTCAAAGATTCATTCAATCAGATTATCAGCTCTCATTACTCTCTTGCATTCTGAATTTCATCAGAGATGATGTGCATTGAAATCTCCTGCAATTATAGAGTTTCTTGATAAAGTTATGTTCAGAAATCCTCTATCAATTGTTCAGATATTGTTGTTTTTCTTCAATGACTTTTCATTATAGATATTTATGAGCTGTATAGTATCAAACTTATTTTCTTTATCTATAATATCACTCACCAGAATATCAGGGTCAGACATAATATCAAGTCTTAGATTAAATTGATATCTTGATCTCTTTCTTTCATAGATCACTACTCTTGACTTTATCTCAGACTTTTGAGGTAAAAAGCAGTGGTAGCTTGAATGAGAAATGACATATTTTTGCTCAGCATCAAAATTCAGCTCCTGAAGTAGTATAAAATCAACTTTTTATTCAAATGTAATTTGAAGACAAGAATAAATGCAATTTGAGTTTCTATTTACATTATTTTGAATAAATGTGATTTTTGAAGAGTTTTTAAACTTTTTTTATTGTTTTTGTTGTATATTCATACTAAAAGAGAGTAGAGTAAAATCTAATTACTATCATCAGATAGTAGATTATAACTGTTCTGAAAAGTAGAAATCTCAACTGCTTGCATTATATCTAGTTTATCATCAGAGTTATTTCTCAATTCTCTAATCTTAACAGAAGTTTGAGAATTCAAATTCTGTTTACATTTCACTGAAGAATTGAAGTTTGAAGACTTAGATAATTGAGAGTTTCTTCTTTTTGAGCTTGCAGTTGTGAGTTTACTGATTTGACTATTCTCTTCAGTTCTAGATTTACTCTGAGCTTCATCTTTTCTTCAGTTCTTTTGAGTTCTTGAAGCAAACATACATTCTTTTAAGCTAGATGCATGTTTTTCTTTGCAATTAGAGCATTTAAGCAGAGTGTGTTGACATATTTCACCTCTTTTTAAGCATGTTTCACATTTATACTCACTAGTTTTGTGATCTCTGGCACAGAATACACATTTTGAGTCTCTGAAACAGAAGATTACAAAGTGTTCATATCTTTGACAGTTTGAACACTGTGTTTGAGCTTTAAGATTCATTCTTGAGTCTTTGTATTTATGAACTCTCATTTTCAAACCTGCTACTCTTACTTCAGACATCTTTGACTGTTTCATTGTCTTTGTATATACTAGAACAGAGGTATTTCTTCTGCTTTGTCTGAACTTAATTGAATTTAGTCATACAGGCTTCTTTCTCAGTTGAATAGAGTTGTATTCTTCTAATTCATTTTTAAGAAGTAGCATTTCTTCTTCACAGTCAAAAATTTCAACTGAAATATCATGAAGAATGAATTTGTCTCACTTTTCATCTCTCTCAGATAGAATTGTTATATTTAACAAAGATTTTACTGCTGATTTTCAGAGATTCTCATTCTGAATAAGGAATTCAGCACTGAATTCAGACATTGTAGTCAGAATAATGAAGTTTTCAAAGAAGAATAGCTCAATTGAAGCTATAACTGATTTTTAAACTTCAATATCTGTTATTAACTGAGAAAAGAACTGCTGATTGATTTCATTTCTAATTCTGAAAATGAGGTTTGAGTTTAGCTTATTTCTCTGCAATATGTCCTGATTTGAGACTTTGAGAATAAGTCTTCTATCTCTGAAGATTTGAAGATTTTTCTCTTTTTGCATTTTTTTCTTCACTCTTCTATCACTAGAAGTATGAGCAGTATTCTTCTCAGTTTTCTCAGAATTTTGAGCAGGTTTTGAGATAGCAGATTTAGAGATAGCAGGTTTAGAGGCAGCAGATTCAGCTGCTTGAGCATATGTTTTCTTCTGATTTAAAGAAGAAGAAGAAGAAGAAGTAGAAAAGAAAGCAGAGCAAACTGAAAAGTCAGTAATTGTATTAGAAATTTTCAAAGTTTTTTGAACTGTGTTTGAAATTCCAAGTTTGAACTTGATCACTTTCTGTAGTTGTCTAGTCTAAGCATGAAGAATTAACAGAACTTCTTCATTTATCTCACTCAGACACTGCTTTTCAAAAATTTTACTTGCTTTTTCAAGTTTCTGTATTTCAAGAACTTGTTGTTTCTCTATTTCTTCTTTCTTTCTTCACTTCAGAATTTCAATCTCAGAGATAGCATTTGAAAAAGCATCTTTTTTCACATCAACTGAGTGTACTTTTGAACTCATTGTTCTTACTCAATGAAAAGTTGATCAGACTAATTCAATTGAGATATTTATTAAACTCTTTTAAATTGAAAAGTTGGTCAGACTGTTTCAATTAAGAGATTTCTAAGTCTGTTTTCAATTGAAAAGTTGGTCAGACTATTTCAAAAGAAGAATAGCAGACTTTTGTGTATAAAACATCTGATTTTTTTCACACTAGTTCAGTAACTAGGTTAGATTTTTGAAGAGAATCTAATAAACTAAAATTGATTTTTAAGATAAATCAATAAAATCTTTACAATCTCTTTCTTGAAATACAGTGAGGAAAAGTATGATATTAATTGATAGTAAATCAGATAATATGACAGTTTTTAAGAGAAAAACTGACAAAAAATAAATCAATTTTTTGCAGAGAAATTGATTCAAACTGTTCAATTTTATTCTAAATTATTCAATTCTTCTCACACAACAAGTGTGCAACTCAAATCAGTTAATAAAGAGTGTAAAAAAGAATTAAGTATTAATAATAGCTCTTCAGTCACTGAAAAAGTAATTCTTACTTAAAAGAATATGAAATTATGACAGAAAACAACTCTGTTTTTAATTCTTTGTAAGAATATTATATAAAACTCAGAGAAAAACACCTTATTTTTTCAAGAGAAGTAAAAAACTATTTCTAAGATCTTTCTTTTTTTTGCATTAACTGCTGCAGAAGAATGAGATAGAAACTGCTAAGATATACACTACTGTATACTCTCTATCAAGACTTTCTCTCTTCAGAGTCTTGATATTATAGAGAATATAAGTCTGTTTCTATATAATAATGTAAATATTGTCAGCAGAATGTAGAGGAACTGGTTATTTATATCTTAAAATAGAAGACTTTATCAATGATTATATCAATATAGAGTTCATTCTCAAATTCAATAGAAACCTAGTATTA